CCCCCCCCAATGTTGTGAAGAAAATGAAAGCACGCTAATATTTTTTTAAACTTCTGTGAAATTTACGGTGTTGCAATTTCAATTATTACGTTAACTAGCTGCTGTAAACGCACTTTATAAGTTAATTATAAGCTGTTTGAATAAACTTTTTTTCTCTTAATTGTTTGTTTTGGCTATTGCTCATATTAAACACCTTTGCTAACCCGTGACCAACCATGAAATTAAATACATAGCAACTCTCACTGTTTCTGATTAGGTAAAGAATACTGACCAGTGCATGATTAAAGACTCTACTGTTAAGTGTATGGATATTCGTGTATACTTGCGCATACAGTGTTTGTATTTGAGACTTTCTGTAGCCACAGGTGGAGAAGTAGTAAGGACACCAGCTGAAATTGATTGCTTCTGTGTAATCTGTGATAGTGTTTATCACTTTCCACTGAGTTGACTTATCTTTAAATTAGGTGAAACCTCACTGAAAATCAGACTTTATATATGAACCTTCAAATTACACCCAACACCAAAAAGCATTTCTAGTTAATCAAAAGAACTGCGTTTTGTTCTTAAATTTCCACATTTTTTGTTTCTCTGGTTTGTTTTGTTTTGTTTTAATTTTATTTCTATTTTTTTTAGTGAGTGACAGTTGCTTCAGGAACCTTGCCGAGGATCGTAGTGGGATAAACCTTAAAGATCTGGTCCAAGACCCTTCTTTGTGAGTATCTGGCTCTTATTGCTAAGCAAAGAAAAGCTTCTTCGTGATATCCTTGTGAGTAGTTTTGTAATTACATAAAGTAGTAGTATGATGAAGTACACTTAGTGCTTTAGTGGTAATATGCTTGCCAAGTTGTTAGTCTTTAATACAGAAAAATAATATTAAAACCACATTGTTGTTTACCTACCTCTGTTTATGAACTAACATCCAGTGAGCGCATACGGTAAAGGGTACAAGAGCAGTCATCAGAGGTAACAAATTGTGTATGCTGGTATTTCTGTGGAGGAGTTGTATGCACAATGTTGCCCCTCTGCTGAAGGAGGAACTGCATATAAATTAGGAGATTACTGGATAATTATGTTATCGTCAGTTATCTTGACACGTAGAATCTTTTTTCTCTTGCATCTGATTTCATACAGCTGATATTTATTTCTTCCTCTACTACCTGTTTTAATTCAAGTATATGAGCAGATGATCTAATTTTTACCTCATGGCAAGACTAGAGGTCTTCATCTCAGTGTTGTATTTTCCTCTAAAATAAAATTCAACCTCATGAGCTCTGAGACAGACTTGAAATTGTATCAAACCTTTTTGTGGGTGGGTTTTTTTTTCTTCAGTTAACTTTAGTACTAGCTGAAAATGTTCTTGCTAGTGTGCACAAGTGTACCACTTGTTATGAGGATAGGGGAAAAATTCACATCTTTTTAACATGAATGATAGTGCATTTCACAGTGGGTCCTAACATGATGAGCCTTTACACTGGCAGAGCACATTTTTCAGTATCGGTTGGGAAGTAGTGGAAAATAAGGTATATTTGACATCTTATTTCAGTTACAGGGGATTTTTAGTAATGAAGTAGATGCAGGATTTATTTTGTCGTGTTGCTACAGGTAAATGACATATGCATATATACATGCATTCTTGGGAAATTTTGACATAATGTATGTAATATTTGATAATTTATACTTGTGAAATGAAGAGGTACAGGGGAGAGGTATAATTGTTGCTTGAGATTCACAAAATGAGTGCAATAGGTAAATTTTTAATAATTACTATCTAAGTGTTGAAGTCAAGGCTATTTCAAAGGTCTTAATTTTCAACCAAAATTTGTCTTTTGAGTGTTTTTTTTGGTTGTTGGTTTGTTGCCCCCCTTTTTTTTTTTTTTTTTGTTTTTTGTTAAGAATTGTATGTGGTTTTTTGAGCTGCAGGTATGCTTCTCTGCTATACGTAGTTTTGGTTTTGCACTTCTGGAGTTTATTTTCAGAAAGGATAAATTGCCTTTGTTGTAGAATGATCATTTTCCTTGCTGTTTACCAGAAGTGATGAAATCTTCTAGTTTCCTTCCCTGACCATAACTTACATGAAGAAGATTGTAATAAATTATTGTAATCTGCAAAATAAATGAAATGGATTTCTGTTGCTTAAAGCATAAGAAGCAAAGTGACTGCAATGTAGCCATTTTTATCACTTTGAAAGATTGAATAAAGTCTCAAAGCATCTGTTAGGTCTCAAGGACTGTTAACGACACTTCTATTGCATGACAGATTACAGTACAGGAAAAGTCTGCTTCTTCCTGCCTAATGATAGGAATGTATAGACTTTGTTTTGTCTTTCCAAATTGATATTCTTGCAGTTTTACAACTGAGTGCCTATTAAGAGTTCCTGCAAAATGTGTAATAGTGTGAGGGAATCTCCAAAATGAAGAAATTATGTAAGGCTATATTGTTCAGCCCAGCCTTTTGTAGGCAACTCTAAGGTCCCATGGCATCTGAATTCCTTGTTATGCAAAGAGAAATGCAAAGGACAGCATGGGGCTGAAACATGAGTGCCAGCCAAAGAGATGTTTTAACCTTTTTTGAAATAAGAATAAAGATTAATTAAAATCTTTAGAGCATTTGGCTAAGATTTTCACCTATAATGATACCTGAAATAACAAAATAACATTTGGTTCATCCTCTTACCAGTTTAATATTTACAGTTTACGATTTCTTTGGTGCTCGTTAGCTCTGACTGTAGACAAACTGCCTCTTTTCTTTGTAATCTAATATCAGATACCAACATCAGATTTACATAAAAAATTCTGGTGCTTTCTCTGCGAATGGCTCTGTCACTCTAAAGGTTTGCAGTGCATTCGTAATGTATGACACTAATAAAATAGTTTAACAAAGAGTACAAGAGATTTTAGGTTCATTAGCATATAAATAGATAATCAGTGTATACTTTTAGCAGGAGTTCACATTACTAGATGATGGGTTAGCAGCAGAGGTAGAAATACAGTATAATACACCGAGAGGATAGTATAAAAAAAAGTTTAAGTGGTTTTAGATTAGGATGGTTTGATACATCATGTAAAATGCATTTTGAGTGGTGTCCATTTCTTGTGAGACTTAGCTGCTTCATAGTTTTCTAAGCTATATTGGCATCTCGCTTGTTGTTTGCCACTCTTAGCTCCATCACAGACAACTTCTCTTTTGTTATTGCAGAAGGCTGTTTCTGGAGGGCTGAAAGTGTGTCTCTACATTGAAATGAAACTCTATAAAGACAGTGTTATAGGGTTTTTTGATTACTGTCTGATTTATATCAAGTGTGCCTAATTGTCAGGATAGTCTTTTTTCCCCAATTGATTTCCCAGCTAGAGCGGTCTGGACTCTGTAAACTTGATCTGCTTTCAATTCTTTCATCGTTAGTAATAAATAAATCAGGAGTTCGATCATCTCTTTCTATTGTATGTGTTTTACTCTGTCAATGAAAATAGAAATGCTGCTTAAGAAAAAAAACCAAGCATATCAAATAAAAATAAAGTGAGGAGTTATTGGCTGACTGTGGGAGAAGGAAGTATGCAACAACTTTACAATTAAATCTCATTTTGTAGTTAATTACAGAAAAGTTGAATTTGAACAAAAAGTTGATTAGAAGTTCAACTGAAAAGGTGGTTTGAGAGTTAACTGCTGTTCTTTATTGCAGCTGATCATAGAATCATAGAATGGTTTGGGTTGGAAGGGACCTTTAAAGGTCATCTAGTCCAACCCTCCTGCAATAAGCAGGGACATCTTCAACTAGATCAAGTTGCTCAGAGTCCCGTGATGTCTCTGCTCTATACAGTGTCCAGTTTTGGATACAAAACATAAAGATGTAGAGATGTGTAGGAGAATGGCAAGAGAAGGTGGTTAGAAAGTGCAGTGCATGACAGGTGTTACTTAATTTAGAAAACAACAGTGGAAGAGAGGAAGTATGAGTTGCCTACAGTATGTAAGTATGTAAAAGATTATTAAAGGGATTGTTCTTTTTGGCTGATGAGAAAAAATTAGTTCAATTTATAGCAGATGAGATTGTTTGGATAGTTAGAAAACATTTTGAATGTCATTGTGATAAAGAAACTGGAATCTATTTCTAAGAATGTCGGGGAGAGCTCTGCAGATTACAGTCTACATATATTTGATCCTGTGTAAGCGTAGAGAGCTGGAAGGGCAAACCTTTTTTTTTTTTTTTTTTTTTTTTCTCTTTTCTTTTTTCTTTTCGTCTGTGAAAAAGGTATGCATTCTGGCAGTTTGACATCAGCATAGTTAATATGACCAAAAACCAGATGGAACTTTTGATTGCTATACAGGTAACTTAATGTGGCTATGAATATTCAAAGCCTATGATTTGGTTTAGATGATGCACCCGCTCCAGCTCTGCCTACCATTCCAGTAACACATAAAAGATACTTAAAATTTTTCATTCTACAGAGGAGATTTATCTACATGAGAAGACTACAGGTGTCTTTCCATGAATGGTCCTAACCAGCAGAGCTGCAGATAGCAGGTGTAATTGGAGAAACTAAGATGGTGGTTCTTAGATGGTGGTGCAGATGTTCTTCAGTCTATGTTCAGCTGAGGTAAAATGCAATGGAACAGGTTAAACTGCTCTTTGAGGCTCTGCAGCAAGGCAAAATTTCTTAAGCTGGTGCTCAAGGAAAGACAGAAAATCGATCAGTTCATTTGACTCCTCGCTTGGGTGCAGACTGAATGCTACCCTCTTTCTTCCCCTCCTTCTCCATCCTCAATACCCAGTCTGTGCTTAGGAGAGAAATGTGTAAGGTAGAATTCAACATGGCTATCACTTGAAACTCCTCCTAGGTTCTTTACTACTGCATTTCTTCTAACTGTAAGTTATTTAAATACACCTCTGAAGCATGAACCATCAGATCATTAGAGTGTTAGGTATACCTCCACCTACTTCAAGCAGAAGTTCTATGTGTAGACATTCCCAAGTTTTAGCTCTTAGCATCCCTTTATAAGATGTTCCTTTTAGCTGTAGCCTGTATATAGACATAAAGTCTATAGAATACTTGTCTAGACAGAAAGAAGGATGCTTTTAATCTTTCTGTGCAATTCAGTAGGTGCAGCTGCACATAATTACTGATACACATTTGTTTTGGAAAGATCTTCAGAGCTTCTTTGAGATGAACAAGATCCAAGAGATTCTGAATAACTTCCTTCTTTCTAGGCAAAATCACATCACATTTAAACTGTGTTTCATATCGCCTTCAGATTAGCTGACTTCAATTAAGAGAGGGTAATTAAGAAAGGTAAGAACAGGTAACTTTTGACAGGAGATTGGGAGTTGTTTTAATACCTATGTACTACAGAAGCTTTTTTTTTTTGTAAAAGTTGTGAGAAGAAAATGTTATTTACCCTCCATGTAATTGTATTAGAAAGACAACCAAAATGTTAATGATCCACAAGTTTAATAGATTTGTGTTAGAAAATCCTGGATGAACTTGGAATTCCATTTGTCCATGACAGGAGATAGAAGTCTGACAGAAGTCATCTTTGTCACTGCCTTGTTGTATTTTACAGTCTTAGAAGGAGGAACTAGATACTTTTTCTGGGAAGTGTTATGAGCGCTTTAGAATTTGTCACTTAATCATAAGGACTGAAGTTGATGAAGGAATTCTTGAGGAACTCTGATTTTTTTTATCTTGCTGAGGACACAGGCAATACTGTAGGATTGAAGAC